CAGTGGTCACAGAGTGGGGTGGGGAGTCCAGTCCACACTCCCCCATTCCTAGCTCGCATGGGGCTTGTCTCCTACTCTTCACGGCCTCCCTGGGCCTCCCCGACCTGAGTTCCCTCAGAAGGCCTCCCTGTCTGGGTTCTAGACCTCATCACCCTTGTTTCAGCCTGTTCCCCGCTCAGCCAAGATGGCTGCCATTTATTGGCCCACACAGCTCCAAGTGGCAAAGTCAAGAATTAAACCCAGGCCTGCCTGTGAGATTCAAAGGCCGGGTCTTTAATCACGACTCCTCCGCTCCTTCTCTCTTGGAGACTTCCTGGCTCTGCGCATCTCCTTCCTGCCCCGGGTTCCCCTCTCCCCTCCACAGAAGTGTCTGCAGGGAATGCTTACATGATTGCCGGCAGGTAGCAGTTGAGGGCCCTTCTGTATCCCACCACCGTTTTCCTTGGCATTACTTTCTCATGATGCTTCAGGCAGCAGGTGTGAGAACTGTTCAACGACGCAGGACTTTCTGAGGGAATCACATTGAAAGCTGAGCCAAGCATGTGTAAAGGGAGCCCATGGTTGCCTACCTTCAACTCCCATCCCTTGCATTCCACACCTCCAATGGCAAAGCCATCTGTTAGCAGGGGCTGATGATAGCTTGATGGGTAACAGAGAAAGTGAAAAAAGGGTGGGGGAGGACACACATGTAGAACCTCCAGCTTCTGAACTGAGCTTCACTGAGTGCAAATGCCTTGGTTATTCACCTTTGCTGGTGCGCCAGGGCTTGGTTTGGCAAACATGTACTGGCTCCTATTATATGCCAAGCTCTCAGGGGGCAAAAAGCATGAGGAAGCCACAGTCACAACCTCTTGAGTATCTCCCAGTCTAGTCGGGGTGAAAAGGGAAAGTGAAGAGGTAAATACTACAGTGAACGTGGTCTGGGATAGAACAGAATTTGGCACAAGGTGCTTTGGGAACAGAATGAGAGACACCTAGCCCAGCCTGGGTGGCTGCGGAAGAAGTCCCATAGCACGCGGGGCCTGGCTTGATTCTTGAAGGCTGAGCAGGACTGAGACAGACAAAGGGGTTGTGGGGTCTGGAAGAAAGAATGGTATGAAGGTCCAAAGGTGGGGGAAACTGTGTGTGCGGGAGCACCGAGCAGTTGCAGATGGCTGGAATGCAATGTGAGAAGAAAGACATAAGAGATGAAATTGGGGTGCCTGGGTGGCTCAGTCAGTTAAGCGTCTGCCATTGGCTCAGGTCATGATCCTGGGGTCCTGGATGGAGCCCATCAGTCAGGCTCCCTGCTCGGTGGAGCACCTGCTTCTCCCTTTCCTTCTGCCCTTCCCCACCCCGACTCATGCTCTCTCTCTCAAATAAATACTAATAATAATAAAAAAGAGAAGATGAAATTGGGGTGGGGGATGACCAGCACACCTGAACTGTGGGAGGGGAGTGTGGACTCAATCCAGAGGTATTAGAGGGGCTGACGTCCGGGAGAGGAGGGTGAGACGAGCAATGAGCTAGAGAAGTTAGGGCGGGAAGAAAAGTGTTTGAATTTAGGCTTCGGGTCAGACATCTTGAAGAGGAATCTTGACTAAATGATTTGGATCATGGGTAGGTTTTATCTCTCTAGTTCTCATCTATAAAACGAGGGTAAAAAGATGCTTCTATCCTAGAATCTGGGTGAGGGTTAGTTGAGAAAATGCTGGTAAAACCCTTAATTCAGAGCATAGTGCATAGAAAGTCTGTCAAGTGTTTATTATAATTAAGAGCAGATGGTAGGAATGACCATTCTTCTTGCCTGGAAATGCCACTTTCCCGCCTCTCTTTGATGCTGACAGGATGCTGGCCTCGGTTGTTAAGACTGTGTTTCCCTTGAGCTCTGGCTGCTCATCAGTTCGGGATATCACAGAGGATGGCAGGCAGAGACCTTCCCCATCCCCCAAAACTGCAGAGTGCAAAACCTTTTGCAGCCTGACCCCTTGCTTCCAGCCGGTGGCCAAGACGGGAATATCACGAGAGTACCATTTGGCCCATCCATGCTTTGGGTGGTCCATTTTCTCTTTTTGAAAAACTGAACCCATTGCAGTGGTCTGTTCGACCTTCCCTAAGGGCACGGTTGCCTCCTGCCACCCACCAGTTGCAGCTGTGCTCATAGTGATGTCCATGACCTCAGTACTCAAAGCAAAGTTTACAGAGTTCAGGGGCATTTTGAGAGTGTGTGGGCAGATTCCATGGTGTGTGTGACCCTTGCTCCCCTGAGGGCTCATACACGCAGAGTCCAGCCAGACCACATGCCCGGGGTAGCCTCAGAGAGAAAAGAAGGGCTGGGGCACCTGAAGGTGGGATGTGGTTTCTTTCATAAATGGTGGTTGAGTCAGGGGTAGAAAGTAGGCTAGACAAACCTTGTTTTCCATAGGTCCTAAGCCTCCCATGGCTCCAAAAACTTTCTACCCCATCCTCTTTTCCTCTTTTCTATGGGCTTTTCCTCTTTTCTATGTGGACTTTTCTATGGACTTTATGCCCATTCCCCAGACCTGGGCTGAGGAATAAGGATAGAGGCCATGAAATCCTTGCACTGTACACCTGGGCATCCCATTGGGCCTTCTTTTGGCTGCCATGTTAGTCCCAGAAATCTGTGCCAGACTCTGCAGTGAAGGGGTGTCTAGGTTCAGAGTCCCCACTCCTGGGCACAGCCGCCTCCCCAACACCTTTCGTCCCACTCTCCCAGAGCATCTGCTGCTTTTCTCGTCCACCTGTCTTGCTCTCCTTTCATTGCTCATTTTTATTATCTCTTCAGTTACTTCCTTGGCTCCCCCAAAGGATCATTCCTGTTCTCCATCCTTTGGACCCTGACGTGACCTTGACCCAGCTTCCTGAAACTGCACGATGACCCCAGCCCAGCTCTGCTTCTGAAGGGAAGAGTTTGTGAACAGCAGGTGTGTCTGTGGGAAGGGGGGAGGCCCTGCGACTGATGACAGAGACGTGACAGGGCTCTTGGCATCACCTCGCTGCCCGCTGCCCCGTCTCCCTCTCTCATTCCTGCCCTCCAAAGACAGGTGGACTCACTTGACTGGCTGTGCAAAGCAGGAGTGGTGAGGATGAGGATGAGGAGAAAGAGGGCAGCCCCGGAGACCTTCATCCTCTCAGGGGGGCACTTCAGCTTCGGGAGAAAGGCTGGTCGTCCTGTCTGACTTCACGGCTCTCTGGACTCTGACTGCTCCAGAGCCGGTGGGGGAGAGAGGCGGTGCCTCCCTCCGTGTTTGCTGAAAGAGTGGGGCGGGACCTGGCACAGTTGAATTAGTAAGATGTAAGTTCAGTGGAAGGAGAGGACTGGAGAAAGGGCGCATGTAGTTCGTGTGTGCTGGGTGTCAGCCACTGTGTATGCCTTCTTTTATTTAATCCTTGCAGTAGTGAAGCCGAGATTCTCTGTTTTAAAAATGAGGCCTCTGAGGCTTGGAGAAGTTAAAGAAATTCTCCCAGGTCACACAGGTGGGAGGCAGGCAGTTCTGAAAATCGGATCCATGTGATTTCTCCACCTTACTTGACACCCATCTTTATTTTGGGGGGGGGAGGGTGGAACTGTCATTGGGAAGGTGACCATAAAGCAGGATTAGAGAGTGCACAGACTGGGGCAAGGGTTAGGGTTTGGGTCTCTGAAAACCATGTCCCCCGTTCCCAGTCTAAGGACACCTGACTGAGCTCACACTTGTTCCTGTTACAGATTATGTTACTAATACATAGAGAAAAACAATGTGTTGATCCTTGGATCCTCGTTTATTGCTGACGTGTTTGGCTTGTTGATTTTTTATTTATTTATTTTTTATTTTTTTAACTCTTTGGACCTTGGACTCTGAACCAGTTTTAGGTCTAGCTGGCCATTCCTCCTGCCTATCTGCGATAAGGGTTCACCCACCCCGCCTCTGTGACCAATGATGGCCAGCAGAGGGCGCTCCAACATCATGCACCTGACAACCTGCCTCTGTGTCCCAGACTTCCAGCTTCTGAGCCCTGGCCTTAACCAGGGCTGACCTATCCCTCAGCATCTTTTCTCTTCACACTGCCTCAGGACCCCATACCTGTGGTTGAAGGCAGATTCAGAGAAGAGATGGGAGATCCAGGAGTTTTTGCTGTTGATGGACTGCAAGCTGTAGAGGCCAAGGGGGGAGTGTTTCAGTAAATGAGAGTAGAGGGAGGCAGGGCCAGATTGAGACCCTTATGGGGCTTCCTGTTTTGCATGACTGCTCGTAAATAAGGAGAAGTTGTATAATGCCTTTAGTCCTGCTGGGTTCAAGTTCAGTTAGTGGTGGTAAAGCTGTGGCTTTTTATGAGGGTAGAAAGGGTATGTCTGGGGGATACTCCTTTGGGTGCTGTTTATGGAGGCAAGGAGGTCTGGAGAAGCTTGGTTGTACCTTTAGCATACAAGCCTCCTCTTGGCCCTGGTCTTGGAAGGCCGGTGGCTAGGGAAGCATGGCCACAGTGCCTACCCTGGACATGTTCTTACTCCGGGAACACAGAGCTGCCCCTGGGATTCTGAAGATGGGTATGAGAAACTTTGGGGGCAGCTGGGTGTTATTCATGGAGCACAGCCTCCTCTTGATTCCTGCCCCATCTCTTCCCATCCATCCATCCATCCATTTCCTGAGCACCTGCTATAGGCCAGGCTTTCTGTTAGGCCTTGTGGAGGACACAAAAATGGCCCTAACAATACAGTACAACCTGATGTATATAAGTGGAGGGGAAGGGTTGGATTAACATATGTCCCCAAATCATTCTTACCCCAGATGGCTGGGAACAAGGGCCTTGGGAGCGGGACAAAACGAAGGCATTTGAAGATTGGCCGCTATGAAGAAGGCTTTATGAAGATTTACCGGAAAAATCAGGTGATAGCTTTTAGCTTTACACTTGTGTAGCTTATATAAGATAATATACATATTATATAAGATAATACACATATAAGATAATACACATAGGCTACTTAGCAGACAGGAGGATAGAAAGTGCTAAGACAATGGTATTTGTTACCATCATGATGATTTGTGTAAAGGTGGCCTCAGCTTCCCGCTACCCCCATCACAGGCCTGACCTGTTTTTTGCATTCAGGGCAGACCTCACTTCTGCAGAGTGAAGCCTGATGCTGAGGGTGCCACTCTGGCTGGGCTCCAATGAGGAGATTCCATAGAATTGAGCAAGGGCAGGGAGGGTGTGAATTCAAGGTCTTTAATTCATGGCAAGGCAGCTCCCGAGAGGTGGCTGGGGCGGGGAGTTGGGGCTGGGAAGGGGGCCATGGTCTCTTCTCTTTAAGATGGCCAGCTGTGCCCTCCTGCACTACTTCCGGGTCACTCGTTTCTCCTCCAGGTCCTTGATGTAGTCCTGGACCCAGTCGTCCCTGGGGTTGGCACATATGGAATGGCCCTTTTTGGTGATGAAGCTGTGAAACAAAAGGGAGAAGTGTTGCCAACGGGGCATCCAGCAGCTGGGAAGTGAAAGCCGGTCTGCCCTCCCTAGAAAACACCTCACCCCCTTAGGCTGTTGCTCCTTCCTTTGCTAGAGGCAGCTCAAGGCCAGTCTCCTCTCTGAGACCTGCTCTCCAGCTCCTGGGGACCCCTGGAACCATCAAGTCTCCGTGCTCCCCCTGCCCCTAGAAGTGCCCTCCTGCCTTCCCTTCCCTGCCCCTGCTGCCTTCCCATCCATGGGGTCTGCTTCCTCCTGGCTCCCTGCAGGCTCAGCCTGGCCAGAAACCCCCCAGGTTGCCCCTCCGCTGCCTGCTGCTGCCCCTGAGAGGCAATCTGGGGAGTCTCCATTCTGCGTCCTCCCTCACCCCCCCCTCAACCTTGCAGGCTCCTTGTCTCCCAGTAGGGTGTGGGGGTTCTACTTACACAACTCCAGGCTTGGAGCACTGGCTGCTGGTCTCATAATAATCTGTGATCCGGTGACGTGGGATTGCCTGGGCAATGTAGCTGACGCAGCACTCGGCCGGGTGGTAAGGTCCTCCTGAGGAGAAAGCAGGGAGGGGAGCTGGGCCTGGGCTCGTTGTCAGAGGCCAGACCTGCCGGCTGCTTCGCACAACACAGGGTGGAAGAGGGAAGGAAGGAGGAGGTGGCCCCGCTGGACTCGGACATGGGATTGTGCAGATTTGTTTCTCTTTCCCTCCTCCTGCCTCAGCAACCACCTTCCTTTCTGCTCTTCCACCGTGCCTAGAAAGACTGGCTGGTGACCTTCAATTCCAGACTGAAGATTAGCAAAACCCAAATCTTCGCAGGGACTACCCACCACTCCAGTGGGGCAGGCTCGCACAGATGCTCCACACAGGAGGAATATTTGGAAGAAATCCCCGTGGGGGACAGGGACACGTGCCAGTTGGGAGTGCAGACCCAGCCCTTCCAAATCTGCCCCTTCTGCCTGTGTCCCCACTGAACCCCTGTCCTGCAAAGAGGGAAGGAAGCTGACACGAAGGCCCAAGGACAGGGAGTCAGGACACCCAGGTCCCAACCTCCCCTCGCCTTTGCTAGCTTTGTGCCAATGGCAACTTTATTCCCCAGTTAGTTTCCTCATCTGTCAATGAGGCTGTTGGACTGGATTGGTGGTTTCTGCACCGAGGGGTTTTACTCCCTGAGGGTCTGGGGGCTTTGGAGTCTGTTTCAGAGATACTCATGCACTTAAGAGTAAAGTTTTGGGGATAGTATCCCTTTTGGCTCTTTTTGCTGTTTTACATACTAAATTTCTGAGTAAGAATTTGCTTGAAGAAATGTTCCACTGTCTAAAAAATGTTAAACATCTCTGGATTAGGTGAACTTTCCATTTATTTTCTGATTCTGGAATTTCATGGCTCTTCTAGGAGGTGCTGGAGGGGGACAATCACACATTCAGTCAAGCTTGACTTATGGAGATAGCAGGAAGGGCATTTCCGACCAAGGGCCCTGGAGAAAAGGAGGCACCGTGGTCATGTAGTGGAGTGATGGGGGTGTGCACGTTATGTGACCAACCTGGACAGAACCGGGAGTGTCCGAGCAGTGGCCTCCTTGGTCACCACGGACGGGCGTATGTGTGGGTGGGAGGGCAAGGCCTGTCCTTTCACCCAGTTAGCATCCTCCCTCCCCGAAGAATGAGATAAGGGGTCCGCTGGTCCCTGAGGCCACTCCCACCCTATCCCTCTAAGCTCCAAATGCCTTCTCAGAGAGGCAAATCAAACTGCCCAGATTCCCATTAAGTTAGATCAGATTTATTTCCATAACCTCCTCTGTTTCCTCCCAGTTTCTGAAAAGGAGACGAGGTAAAATTGAAGGGTCAGGCATAGTTTTGGTTGTGTATGAAGGCAGTTCATCCCAAGTAATAAGCTGGGGAAAGGGTGGTCGAGGTGTGACCCCCCACTGTTATGGTTCCCCTAAGCCCACACCTAACTGAAGCTGCTCTCGTGGGGTGGGGCTGACTCTGGAACCAGGTGGCTCCCATCTCAAGAGGTAAACAGACAAGTGGCCTTAAGGGTCTCCCCAAAATACTCCTCTATCTCCCTGGGGATAATGTCCCCCAAATGGGGTGGGCCACTTTTACTTAATGGCAGAGAGAGATGGACTGAAGGAGTAGAGAGACAGGCTTACTCCATGGCCTTGGAAGGAAGGGGGGCTAGTCCTGGAAGGTGAGGATGAAACCAGTTTCAGAAGACCCCAGACCTCCTTCTGGAACCCCTCCTCCTTATATCCCCAGCAACTTTACTCCTACTTCTTTCCCCAGGGGCACCAGGTTGGAAGGAAGATGAGGTGTTGCACTCACGTGAGGACTGTTCAGGCTTTCTCCCCAGAGCGCAGGTGATGAGGAGGATGAGGAAGAGGGAGATGGCTGCCATGGAGACTTTCATCCTCCTGGCGGGGGAGACCTTTATCCTCTTGTTGGGGAGCTGCTGCAGGGGAAGAGCTGACCTGGTAGGGACTTTGGAGGCTTCTGGGCTGAGGAGGTGTTGAGAGATGATCATCAAGGCAAAATATTTTTTAAAATGAGGGAACTAAGATGACAAAGGAAGTAGGGAGTAGCGATGCCTCAGCAAATTCATATCCTGCATGTTGTTGAGGGTGGAGCAAGGGAAGCCTGGAGAGCCAAGATTTCAGGGAGGAGATTGCCTTCCATCCCTAGTGGGAATAAATTTAACTCCTTTGATATAAGCTCTTTTTTTGGTGGAGGCCACAGCACAGGGCCTGGGGGTACTATTGCGTAATTTATCCAAGATCTCAAGACTGGGAGGTCACTTGCATCCAATTCCAGTTCTGGGCCTGGAATAAGGCCATGTGGGGAGATTCAGGATCTCTTCGTCTAGAGATCCGAGAGGATTTGGGATACCAAGATGTGGCCTGGAACCCCCCAAGTCTGGTCTTACTAATCTGGGCTAGGAACCCCTCACTTACTGACTTAAGCAGAACCTCCAGCTCCCAGCCTTCTCACCGCCCTCTCACCATACCCTTGGGTGAAGAAGTGCCACGATGCTCCGTAGATAATTAACAAACATTACATAACAGCTATATGCACTGGCCACTGTCCCAAATGTTTTATGGATATTAGCCCATTTAATCTTTAAATCAACAGTTGAGTAAACTGAGGCACAGAAATAATAAATAACTTGCCCAAGCTTTAACAGTTGATAAGAGGAATCAGGGTTCAAACCTGGGCAGGCTAGTTCCCAAGTCTGTGTTCTTAACTGCTATGCCCTGGAGAAACGTGGGACTCTCCCATCCCCACTAAGCTGTCACTGAAAGTGTCTTGGCTAGTGTGGCTTTTCTGCAAAGCCTTTAGTCTGAGCCCTTTCTGAGCTCAGGTGGATCCCTTTGGGACCTTCTCCTGGTTTCTGACTTTTGTTACAGAGAAGCTTGATGGGTACCTAAAAAACTCCTTGTTCAGGGATGGCTAGTAGGCTTCATTGATTAGGAGTGGACCAGAGTTCTGCGTTGGACACCATTCTGAGGCTATATCCACATGCCTGAAAGGGAGTGCTGTGACTAACATGTGGTTCCCATTAGGGTGCATCTCATAGGCTGTGTATTGCCATCCTTAGATTAGTCTAAACTGGCTATTTATGGAGGAGCATTGGGGCCAGGAAGGGCCAGGGACTTGCTCATTTTTACAGGATAACTGGGATGCAGAAGAGATCCACCTCAGTCCAGTGGCCTTTACCATGCTCTTCTTGTTGGGGGCCCTTGGCCTGTTTTGCTTGCTGCTCTGATTAGAAGACTGTTCACATCCTCTTTCCTTGACTGGACTCATCAGGGCAGGGAGCCCCTGTTCTTTATCTTTGCCCATTCACACAGGGCCTAGCATGTAGCAGGTGATTTATAAACAAGTGTTTTAGAAGAATCATGAATAAATAAATTGAGCTGGTTGAAGGATGTACATCCCACAGAAAACATGCTGGAGTGCCAAGATAGCCATACATGTTCTGTATTTGTTATCCTCGATAACAATGCTCTCTAAACTCTCCAAATCAAATAACAATCGCCATTAGGAACAATCTAAGGAAATAAGTTGTTTTTGGGGAGTACATGAGTTGGAAGGAAACAGTGTTTACTGTGTTTTCCTGGAGACTTAGCCTCCCAGCCAAGTTGTTGCTAGGACACTTACAGGAAATCCCTTTATTTTCTAAGAAATTATTAAGTTCCTATCTACCTTAGTCTGTATATGCTAATTGCTATAATAAACAACCCCTAAATCTAGGGGATTAATTAAATGAAGTCTTATTTCTCGCTCAACTTGCAGTCCAATGTTTGTGAGCAGTGGGATGACGGTGTGTGTGTTGGGAAGGGCTGTTCATGCACCTGTTCAGGGGCTAAGGCTTCTATCTGTGGTTTCCCCCAGTTTTAACACAAGACCTCCAAGTTTGCTACAAAGGGGAGAGGCAGAAGAGAGATGGGAGATTTTCATGTACCAGTCCTAGAAATGACATAAACAAGTTTCACTTACACTCCATGGCCAGAATGAAGTCACCTGGCTCCAACTTAATGATGAAAATACGGAAAATATAGATCATCTGTGTGCTCAGGAGGACAATGGAATGGGTTTAATGACTACATCACTTCTTTGCCACAATATCAAATGCCAGGTACTGGGCTATGCTCAGAGGGTGGAAATGAAGATGACCCTGACCTCAGAGGACTCCTAGCTTAAGGAGGGACTCAAAAGAGCAAATGAAAATTGCAATACAGTGGGATGAATAGAATTTGGTAGCAACATGGAGACCTTAAATGTTCTATTGCCCACTGGTTAAGTATGTGGAACTTATTTTAAAAATATTAAAAATGTTTTCCAAAGCAACACATACATTGATTTAAAAAAAAAAAGAGTACAGAAAGAGTGTGTAGGACATATATTTTCAGAGTTCCTACTTGTCTGAAGAAGTCATTACTCATCCCTCATACTTGATGGATATTTTTGCTGGGTATAGAATTCTACCTTGAGAGTATGAGAATTTTTTTGCAAGGGGGAAGGAACTTCTGTGTGTGTGTGTTTGTTTGTTTTCCAGGTTTTTCCTCTCTCTAGATTTTTTTTTAAAGTTAATGGTCTTTGTATTGGAAAAAAAGGCTAGCATTTACAACTTGGAATAGACATAAATTGTAATTTCTTGAACAGCAAGTTGATGGTTGTGTAGAGTCCACAACCACAGCCTATGCTGCTGTCTCCAAGTCATGGTTCAGAAGGGTTTTAAAAACAGAGTCCGAAGATGGTCCCTTTCTTTTTAAAACTTTGTGTGAATGGTGACATCCTGACACCTATTTTTCTCTAGTACAACAAGGACAATGCTAAGCCAACACATGCAGCATGCCACCAGGATGAGTGCCATCATCACCATAGGTCAGGACACATGGAAGTACAAGAGGACCACTCAGCTAAGTGGGGCTATGTCTAGACAGTTAATCCTTCACCCATTTTTCTGCACAACATTTTGAGGTAAACCAATTTTAAATGTTTGTTTTCAGTAAACCAGCCCTGACAATTTATACTAACAAGTTGAACTAGAATCCATTTGAATAGGTTTTCAATTTTTTTTCATTTGTCATTTTTTAAAAAAGATTTTATTTATTTATTTGACAGAGAGAGACCACAAGTAGGCAGGCAGAGGGGTGGGGGAAGCAAGCTCCCTGCTGAGCAGAGACCCTGACTGGATCCCAGGACCCTGAGATCATGACCTGAGTGGGAGGCAGAGGCTTAACACACTGAGCCACCCAGGCGCCCTTATCATTTTTAACATAAATGCCTGATGGTGCTCAATTATCAGGCAACATGCAAGAAAAATTGGTCATCTCAGACAGTGTATTAATCATGAGCAAACAGAACTGCAAGGAATCCACTAAATGCTTCTTGATCATTAAGGTAGTACAAGTATTTATATTGTAAAACTGATGACAGCTTGATCTTTAAAGGATAGGACAACCAACCGATACGTGCAGATTTTGTGTGTGTGGACCTAAGGTAGCTTTGACACTCAGTTTTGCTGTAGAGAAACAGAATGAGTAAGTGATTTTTTTTTTTTTGCAAGAGATAAGTAAAATATTCAATTGGATTCTTCCAGAGGGGGAAAAAGGAGTTGAAAGTAGGTCTTCATTTTGCAGTCATCCTCTATATGAATTCTTCATAGTTGACTTGTCCATCTCCATCGGTATCTGGTTCTCTGATCATTTCATTGACTTCTTCTGCCAAGTTTGTTGTGACATGAGGTAGTTTTGCTACACTGATGTAACCAGTGCCATACTTGTCAAAGACTGGGAGTGTCTCATGAATTTCTTCTTCACTGTCTGTATCTTTTATTTTTCTAGCCAACATAGTAAAAAATTCTGGTTAGTCAATGGTACCATTACCATCAGCACCCACCTCATTGATCAGATCTTGCCATTGGACTTCTGTTAGGTTCTGACCCAGACACCTCATGACAGTTCCAAGTTCCTTTGTTGGGATGATGCCATTGTTGTCTTTGTCAAATTGTTGTCTCTGCTCTTTGTCTCTCAGAGCAGAGAGAGTGAGGGTGACTGCCTCAGTGCAGGGGTTGTGATAATGGGGGATCTCCCACTACTGCTGCTGTTAAGGTGTGGTGGGCACTTGCACTGTGAGTAATGGTCTCCTGCCTGTGAGGCTCCCAGCACTACCACCCCATTCTCTAGAAGATTTTAAGATTTCTGACTTATCCTTTTCTATTTTTTAAAACTTTTTGGCAGAAAACCATGACCCAACGCTCATCTTATGCTTTGCCCCACCTCTGGGAATCAACCATATCTCCAGTGAGTCCTGGCTCCCATTAGTAAAGGATAGTTTTGAGAAATCTGGGTCCCTAGGGGCTCATTGCTTATGGGAAGGGCATAGCTCTTAGGTCTGAGCTCTTAGTGGACAGGAAACTAGGAAATATATTGAAGCATATATGTGTAAATGTGTATATAAATTTATATCTATTTCTATTATATTATTCTCTATATATTATATATAGTATGTATTATATTATTCTATTATATGCTAATATATTATTCTATTATATCAATCTCACACATTTATAGCAATTTCTATATCATTAGTCTAGCTATAAGAAAAACCAAAAGTTTATACCAATACATTTAATTCCAAGTAAAGACCACAAGGTTGGTTTTAATCTTCCCTTTTTGTGTGTTTCCCTCTCTGCTTTAACAGTGAGAAATCTGGCTCCCATTAACCTCAATATATCTACCTCTTTGCATTGTCCTCTGCATATACCAAATCCTCTGGCCATACTGGCTGTATCTTCAGTCCCAGTCACACTGGCCTCAACCATGGGGATCATGCCCTCTGCCACAGTCCTAGCTGAGTCCTCAGGTGAGCCCCCTGGTTCACACCAAGAGAATCAATACATGAAGGGGAGAAAAAAGGGAGAGAAGGGAATAAGCTATGTATTTTAAAATCTTCACTGTGGCTCTAGAAGCAAAAGAGTAAAAATATAGATGTTTACATTTGCTGTTTTATGCCTTGATTTCTGCACAGCTCTTCGAAGTTTTTGTTTCACTTCTTAT